CTATCCATCCTGAGAAGGTGTCTACAAACACTATATTTATATTTATAGCCAGAAGGAGTAGACCTGACTGAACTCAGATATTCACTAAGAGCAAGGGCCTTTTTAAAGCAAAAACCAAGCCTATTAGCTTGCTCAGCAGTTTCAGGCAATGGGTTTAAGCAAGCAGTTTAACAGAGGCTAAGATAAGCTGACCTCAAGTTCCTAGGGTAGAGTTGGGTAATTTTTCTTCAAAATGCCTTGCCCTGTGAAACACCTGGTAAAATCTGTTTGCATGAAGTCCACTGTTGCATTCCAGGAATCTGATGGCCTGGAGCAGTGACTCTTTTTATCCCTTGGAACCATGGCCCCTTTCCCCTAACCTCTTTCATTTCCTGTGTGTAATTCTTTTTAGACTAGCCAATCAGATAAGACTGTGAGGTCGGACCCTAGCTAGTCAGGAAAGGACACAATCACTACTTGAGTTAGCATAAAAGCCAAGTGGACTTCCAGTCTTTGTGTTCACTCTTCAGGTTACACCCTCTTGATCAAGAGCCAAGTCTGCTTGTCCAGGAATTTCTGTTGGAGTGGTGGGCTCTTTCTTTGACAGCCCAAATTCATTTCTAACATTAGGGAAGTGGGAGTCGTGGGAAGAGTTGCAAAAGGGTGTAAATGTGATTAAAGTACATTTTACAAAAACTGTCAAGGAATTAATAAAAGCATTATTAAAAACTTAAAAAAATTAAAGCATAAAGGAGAGAAAAAAAAGGAACAAACTGATTCTAAAGGGTTTACCTAGCTCTAGTATTCTGGACAGAATGTACCGATTCCAAGTTCCCAGAATTCTATACATTCTCCCTCTAGACATAGGTGCTTTCCTATGTTATTAAGGAGAGAGTTACAGAATAGAGTACATAGGTCAGGCCTCCCAAGAAGTCACATCATTAAAGCTTAGCAGGCTCTGGAAGATAGGCAGATTCTGTTTCCAAGATGGAAGAGTCAATGGGGTTGTAAGGATTGAGTGTCCTGCTTGTAGTATGTTTTCCACTTAATGAAACTTCAGAGGGACCAAGTTTCCTGTCTGGAATTTCAGACTGAGTTAGGCATGCCTTTAAAAGATCTAGTTCAATTCCTGACTGACCCCTCCCCCACCCAAATAGCAATTCACCCTCTTCTATCAGTTGAGAGATGTCCTCCATCTGAGCTTCTATGTTTCATGCTGGGTAATTTACATATGAAAGTAGAACTTGACATGCAAACCCAAGGCTTCAAAAGCATCAAGAGTCCTCTTTCTAAATGTCAAAAAGAAAAAAAGTTCACAGTCTGGACATTTCTACCTTTGCAATCTGCAGAGGCAGCTGGCTAACTTCCAAAATGGTCCTCACCAGGCCTGTAAGGCATGACAGTTTTCATACAGTCACAAGACCAAAGACAAATGGGATCCAAGGAAGAGAAAGATGGTAAGATCGGGTAGATAAGCACAGTGCACACGTTTGAAGTTAGTGACTGACTGCAGTCCAAAGGAGAGGATGAGGCTCTATAAATACAGCTCTGCGTGTCTCTCACAGACACTTCCTTGTAGTGGGTTTTAACTTGTACAATCTGCAGAACACCAACCACAACAGGGTTGTTGTGACTGTCTCCTTGGAATGTCTCTCATGTGAGTAATACTCTGCTCAGCCCGGTTTTATAGTCTGGTCCCCGGGCCCTAGGGGATTCCTAGCTCAGACTGCTAAATCGGGATTTTACTACGGTCCTCTGTTTCTGTCACCCTGTGTCAGCCCACAGCAAGCTTCTCTCCAGGCAGTGAGTTGGATGCAGACACAGCAGAAATCATAGAGACCCAGGTCCAAATTTTACCTGTGTTTACTTGCCTGTAACTTTGGCCAAGGTCTGCCAGTTCCCCGTGTGCTTACTTGCAAAATACGTGCATTAGAAAGAAGTTCGAGGTGATAACAAAAGGGTCCAGGACTCCCACTTTAGTATCTGGACAGGGCAAACTTTACTTCCAGTCAACAGGGTCTTCTCAGGAGTGGGAACACACCAAGTCTAGAAGTTGCTTTTGGATCTAACTCAGGTGGAGACTGTTTCTTTCCCTCATTGGTTGGGGATCTGACAACACAGTTTAAAGATTGGCTGGTGTAAAAAGAACCTTTGTGAAGGAAAGAAAGAAAATCTGGATGGTGTCAGCTTCTTTATTCACTTAAGCTCCCAGAATGAATGAAGCAGTGTCTTTGTATAAACAAAGGCTTTACTAGGTAGGAGGTGTTATTATTTTTAAAATGATGCTCACAACAGATATTATATGAAAGAGGTATTTTGGATGGAGATGGAGAGAAGGGGGGAGGAGGCACTCTAACAGAGAAAAAGGAGAGACAGAAAGGAGAGCAAGAGAGCAAGAGAGTGAAGAGGCAGGGGTCCTTGGATCCTGGGCCTCTGTGGGCAGCAGCCAATGATGACATTACAGGTGCCTAAGCAACCTGGGACTGGGCTAATGCATCAACTTGTGAACTAACATCCCTCCCTTTTTCTTCAATTAAGAAAAAAGGGGGGAGGCAATGAGGTGGGAATGAGGACATCAGACTGCTTTTCGTGTAAGGCAAATTAAAGCATATAAATGCTTGGCTACCATGCAAGGGGGGTAAGAAAGAGGGAGAAAGCAAAAAAAAAAAAAAAAAGTAAGAGCATCAAAATGTCCAGATACTTGGTGAGGAGGAGGGGAAGGCCTTGCCCTGGAAAGTTCAGGGTAGACAGTGGGGTTTGCCAGACATGCCCAGCAGCAAATAGGGACGGAAGAATTCTGGGAGAGCCTGGAGCTGTTGGTCCTGGGCCTGAAGCATACCACTTCAGCCTTTTGTTGATAGTAAGTGGTGATGGGTGAAAAAATCACTCATCTTTAGCTACCTCCTGCTGACACTAGGGTGACGATAGGGAGGCCAAAAGGCTGAAATGCTGGCCAAGTCCAGGAAGAACAGGCTGTTTTGATGCTGTCCAGGATCTGAGAACATCTGCGGCTGGGAGGGAAAACTGCAGGTCCAGCTTGATGCAGTCTGTGAGGTCAGACTGGAGCACCTGTGGTGGCTGCTTTGGCGCTGTCTTGGATGTAGGGAACACAATGTGTCTAGTAGGATACTGGAACATGTAGATGGGCAGAAGACAAAGTTGAGCAGGTTATGGAGAAAATTTCTTTTAGGTGTATGTTACTTTTAGATGTACGTTTGAAATTTTGGGGAAAGCGAACAGGGATGGAAGGCTTGGATCAAAGAAGAGAAGCTTGAACTCAGGGAAAATCCATTTACTGGAGAGAACCTCCATCTACCTGATCACTGATATTAATTAAAAATGTTTTGGTTTGGATCTGTCATCTGAGGAATAGTGAGGCCAAATTTGGCTGCAGAAGTGTGTAAACTGAGAGGCTCTTGAAGTGGGCTCTAGGCATATGAATCTGAAATTATTTAGAAAGCATCTCAGAGGAGAGCCTGGGGGTGTGGTGGAAGACATGATTCCCATGGGTGAAGAGAGAAAAGTAAATCAGTTCTGCCAATCTTTGGGGCATTCTCACAAAGTCCAGGAGAACCCGAAATACAGGGGCACAAGCTGGCAAAGCAGGTTCTCACGAGCAGTACCAGGGGCCACAGGGAAGGCTCCTGGGAGACGTGGCTGGGAGACGTGGCTGGGAGACATGGCTCACCTAGTACTTGGATTTCCCAACAACATGCACAACGCACACGAAAGGAAAGAAAAAGACAAAAGACAGTGTAAGTAGAAAGAAAACGCTTATTTACCCGAGAGAAGGCACCTGTGTGAGGGTCAGTGAGAAGGGCCAACCATGGGTTTGCAGGCTGTGGTTAGAGGGTACCACCATTCCCCAGTGAAATGGAGAGATACCAGTGAGTCCCTCAGACAAAGTGGAACTCACCAGTCTGCTGATGTGGGATATATGGATGTAACAATTGGGTAGCCAGGAAAAAGGAGTCCCCAAACCAGGGAAAGGTGGGAGGAATTCCACCTTTTGAGATAGACAATAGGTGTAGTATTTATCTGGAGCCCAATCAACCCGAGAAGTGGATTCGGGTGAATTTTCTTTCAGCTTACAAGAATCCCTTTTGAATTTTACAAAGGAGATAAAACTTTAGACATGCTAGCATCATCATGGTACTTCATAGTGAAATAAGCGGTGTGGACATACACCTTTGTGTCAGCAGTATAAACACTCTTCAAGGTGAGCTCTGGGAAGGCAGAAGCCGTTTGTGAAGTAGAAGGGGCAAAGGCTTATTTGATCTTAGCTTTTGGTATGATTACACATTATGGAAGAGAGGCTTCTTTTCTCTATCCAGAAGACTAGTCTAGCAGAACGAGAAACAATTATTATGTTTATATTTAAAAGACAGACCAAGGAAGATTTCAAATCTTGAGCTTGGAACTATGAGTGTAGATTGTATAGTAGAATGTTTTTTCTTTTTTTTTTTTTTATCAGAGTTCGATTAATAAATCAGGGCTCTAATGATAAATGTCAAAGCTCTGGACAGTCACTACAACAAGAGGGGATAAAATATTTGCATACAAGGTGGGGAAATAAAAAAAAAAGGTTTGAATTCTTTGTTGCAAACACAAGTTCTATAGTGTTTGATAGAAAAGGCTCTTATTTATTTATTTATTTTTGTTTTGCACCAGGAGCATTTTCCTGCTAGGGGCTTTATCAGGGTCTGCAGGAGATTGGGAACACAACCTCCTCCAGCTCTCCTCAGATCTCCACCAGGCCACCAGCATCTCCTGGGACAGGCAATGTTCCTCAGTCACTAGGCACTTGCTTATTTCAATCCCTGCACATTTTTGTTTGTTTATAACAAAAAATGATTTAGAAATCAAAATGAAAGTTCCCCATACACGAGCCCCTAGGATGCAAACCAGGGCTGGCTGCTCCGGCATTTCAGCATGGCCCTTTAAAACAGTTGCCGGACTCTGCTGCCTTCTGTCTTCACAACGAAGAACTGTTCTGTGCACTTTGGAAACTGAAAGTTAAACATAACCAGGAAACCGAAACTGTTCTTTGTTTTTTTTTTCTTCTCCTCTCCCTCCCAGAACTGAACAAGACAGTGAGCTGCTTACTAACTCCCGGGCCTCAGCCACCTCTGAGAATGCTGTTCTCTGATTTCAGTCCTTGGGAGCAGACGTTTCAAGATCTGATCCAAGAGGAGAAACCTGGGGCCTACTGGACCTTGCAGTTAAGTAGGAACATTGTTCCAAATGCTGCGGCCGTGGGATGGAGGCAGTACCAGCAGACAGTACCTGGCAGGTGAGTGGGCTCTGGGCAGCTGGTCCTCCTGAAGGTCCCCCCTAAGCACAGAGGCTCAGCTGAGCTGATAACAGCCTCTGACAGCTTGCTGTAATAAAAGAACACATGTGACTACCTAGATTCTCCACCCTTGTGGTCATGGAGATGGTTAGGGTTCCCTGAACTCCATGCCTCCATCTTGGTTGGTTGGTTTCTTTGTTTTGGGTTTTTTTTTGTTGTTGTTTGATTGTTTATTTTTTTTAGACAGGGTTTCTCTGTGTAGCCTTGGCTGTCCTGGAACTCCCTCTATAGATCAGGGTGGTCTCGAACTCAGAGATCTATCTGCCTCTGCCTTCCGAGGTCTGGGATGAAAGGTGTGCTGCATCTCGCTTAATGTGGGAAGTTTCTTGCCCTGCCAGGTCCCCTTACAAACATGTTTCAGGAGTTCTTGAAGAGTGCCTCCAGGTTCCTACAAATAAAATACATACAACAGAAAAATGGATTTATCTACAATTTGGGTCCAAACTGGGACACAGCTCTTCCTAGTCTGTTTCCTGCCTTCCAAGTAGCAGTGTTGCAGTTTATAGAAAAGAGGAAAGAAACTCTGCATAAACATGTTACCGGAAATGCTGGAGTGCCCTACTGTGGTTGCCAGATGATACCAGGGAAGGCGGGGTTTCTTCTTCAGGTTCTTAATTCTCCAGTTGAAGAATTTTAGGAGGGACACTCAAATGGGAGCTTGAGGGTGATTTTATTAGAGTTAAAAGGAAATTGGGAGAGTAGGCAAGCTCTGAATCCCAGCAGCTCCCTGGAGGAGAAGGGCCAGAAGGCCCTACCCTGTGAGTTAAGGTGCTGTGATGCTGCATGGTCTTAGACAGCCACACAGCAGGGGTGAGACATGTTGAGACCAAGGAAGCAAGGCCAGTGTCATGAAAACATGCTTACAAAAGGGGTAGGAAGGAGAAAAGGAAAAGTTATGTTTTTCTGAGTAATTCAGAAAAGAGAACAGATTTATGAAGTCAGGCAAGGAGAGCTACCATGCTGGATTATGTACGCTCCTCCTGTTAGGAGCAAGAATCCTGCCAAGTACAGAATCATTAAGAGGCTTTATCACCTATCTCTCCAGCATGGCTTTGGGCAAGCCTGCCTTTTTAGGGGTGACCCCTCCTTCCTGATGGGTGGTCCTATTGAACAGGCTTGGCTGGACAATTGGAATGTTAAATATCCAGCCAGGGCCAAATATTATATTATCTTGACTCAAAGGAGTTTTTCCCTTACTGGGCCTGTATTGCCATTCTAAGACGTAGATTTAGTTGTAGGATGTGTGGGATTTGACCTTCTCAGGAGACACAGAGTTCTTATTCAGGGGCCAGAGCTTCTGGGGCAGGCCTTCTCCATCCCCAGCATGGTATTTCCTGTAGGGAGCTGGGAAAAGGAGGACAGAGAGATGGCTCAGCAGTTAAGAGTACTGACTGCTCTTTCAGAGAGTTCCTGAGTCCCATTCCCAGCAACCACATGGTGGCTTACAATCATCTGTAATGGAATCTGATTCCCTCTTTTGTGCATGAAAACAGAACAATCATATACATAAAATAAATACATCTTTAAAAAAAGAAAAATGAAAAAGGGGAAAAAAGAATTTCAAGGGCATTTCCTGTGCAGTCCCATGGCTAAGCCTGACCAGCCCCTTTAGGGTGGAGCAACTCTCCTTGCCTGGCCCCTGCTCACTATTTGTTCCTCAGAATTGACTATGCCCAAGCAGCCATGTTGTGTATCACTTTACAGAGAGCTTGTGGATATCAAACCCAGGTCTGGGAGTGACTGAGGAATGTCCCTGGCTTCTTGGGTATCCTCCCTGTAGTTCCAAACTAGCTCCAGGTTTCCCTTCCTTGTAAGGAGAGTGAGAATGGCTAGCCTGAGAAGTCAACCCCTCTTTTCCTAGAACCCTGGGGCCTTTTTCTAGGACCCCCTAGAACCCTCAGATCTTTTTTAACCTCTTCAAGGGTATCTGCCCTGCCTCCTGCGTACTGGGTTCTACCCCTTATGAACCCTCAGCCATAGGTTTCCACCTTCTAATCTGTTAGTCATGTTGCTCATTAGGGGTGATGTTCTGTAGTAGGTAGATGAATAAGGTTTGTTTCAGTGGCCTAGGCTGAGAAAACAGTCCTTTCCCACTTACCCTTTAGTTCCCAAGCAAGTTGTGTGTGTATACATTTTATTATTCACTTTTTTCTTTAAGCTGACAAGGGGATCAGCAATACCTGTGAGGAATGACATAAAGATAAAGGGACATAATGCTGAAAGGTATCAGTATTGCCTGTCTCAAAATAGGCACTTTATAAAAATTTCATGTTATAATGAAGAAGAAAGTTAATTGCACATAGTAGCCATTCTCTCTCTCTCTTTCTTTCTTTTTTTCTTTCTCTCTTTCAAGACAGGGTTTTCTGTGTAGCCCTGGACATCTTGGAAATTCATTCTGTATACCAGGCTAGCCTTGAACTAAGAGATCTGCTGGCCTCTGCCTCCCAAGTGTTGGGGTTAAAGGTGTGTGGTGTGCCATCACAGACTGGCTAATAATTCTCTCCTTTTTAAGACTTCTAGAGAAGCTTTTCTCCCAACAAGGCAGACTCAGTGTTAACAGAAAGGTATCTAAAACTGCCCCTTGTTCTTGTTTATCTGTGGCAGTGTCGCTCAAAACAATATGAAGTTCTTCACATTGAAGGAATTCCGAGAATTTTTTTCTCAGGTGAGTGATCAGCTAAAGACACTGGCCTTCTTTCTTCTTCCTACAGGTTCCACTGTTCCATTTGTAAGAGAAGTTGGATTTCTGCCCAAGTGAAGATCTTATGCCACATGTACCGGGTGCCTGGGACATCTCAGGGCCAGGTGCTCATGAGGATCTTTGCTCAGCGGTGCCAGAAGTGTACTGAGTCTCAATTTGAGAATCCTGAGTTCTCCACAGAGACCACCAAAAGGATTCTGAGTGGCCTAGTGAATTATATTCTGTATAGATACTATGGACATGGCACCAGGAAGATTCCATCAAATGTACCTTTGGATGAGAGGGTGCCTTTGGATGGGCCCCATGACGCACAAAATTGTGAGGCATGCACTCTCGGCCTACATGGAGGGTGTGCCCTTATACCCAAAGCAAAGCTGCCCCAATCCTCATCTCCTTCACCAAACAGAAAGGGAAATAATGCTGAAAGGCACTCTCTTCTCCACAGTTCTCCAGCCCCTATACCTAAAGCAAAGCTGCCCCAATCCTCATATCCTTCACCAAACAGAAAGGGAGATAACACTGAAAGGCATTCTTTTCTCCACAGTTCTTGTCCACCAAGGAGCCATCATTCTTCACCTCAGACTGGGAATAGAGGCTTTCAAGAACACATAGAGCCCCATGACACATGGCTACCATTGTTTGGGCTTTTGGCTGTTGCTGCACTTACCATTATTGGTCAATTGTTTAGATAATAGGTTTATCATCTTGTTTTAATTCCACGGCTATCAATAAAATGAATGCCAGTGAATAGTTTGAGATCAAGCAAGGCCAAGTATATATTATAAACATAGTTTGCTGGACATACTCCAAAAATAACCTAAAACATGACAAATACATAATAGACCCAGCAACAAATTTGTAGTGAATTGTTAACTAGTCTGTGTTTGCTTGCTCACTTATTGTTATCGAGCTGTATTGATTAAATCTTGAAAAGAACTAATAGTCATGAGTATTATCATATACTTTCTGTGTCACACACAGAAATGTTCCACACACACACCAAAAATGCCCTTACCCTAACCCCTAACCCTTGAACTTGTGAATAAGCTATAATTTGTTGGAAGAATGGACTTTGTAGACATGATTAATTAAAAGATCTTGATGTAAATTGTCTTTATCAGGATGAATAATAACAGAAGGGCCTGTCTTGTTTTGTCTTTTTAATCAGGACTCACCAAAAACTCATGTTGAAAGCTGGGTCTTAAGGTGATAATGCTATGGTAGGTAGCAAAAACTATAGGGTATGAGCTTAAGGGAGCGTGGCGTTCTAGGGGTTCTTGTAAGCTTATTGAGCCCAAACCCTTTCCCTTCTCTTCCTTATTGGTCACCATAGGGTAAGCAACCTTGACCCCCTGCCTTAGCACAGGTCACCAAACAATCATCAAGTAGCCATGTTGATCCCTGAAAAATGGAGCCCAGATAAATATTTCTCAGACATTTTGTCAGAGTAAGGGAAGTCCAAGGGATACATGGCATGCTAAGAAAGGGTCAACAGAAGGACAGAAGGTTTGAACATGGAAGCACAGGTTGCCGAGATGTGTTTCAAAAATGAAGGAAAGGCTCGCCAACCAAGTTACAAAGCTAACTTCTCAGACTCAAGCAGCAGGAATGAGCTCTTCTCTGTGGCTTTCCATTTGAATCATATTTTAATTATTATTATTCTTTGAGTATGTTGTTGCAGCATTCTAGTTGAGACAAAGCTGCAGCCATCCTTGTATTCAGCTCCCATTTTGTTTCTAAGGTGAAACTAGTTCAAACATTTTAACTTCTCAACTCTGCTTCCTGGCAGCAGCTGTTGATAGCTGCCCTTATATTTCACTATGATTCAACAATGTTATAACTCGTCCTTGACCGTCTATGTACTTGGCTACACTCTGGTCGCACCCTTCTTATCCACACACGTAGCTACACTTCGAGTGTACTCTAGAACCTAAGCCCTGTCTCATTTACCTCCCCTGGGACCAACCAGCTTAAAGGTTAGCTGATAACACTTATTCTTGTTAGCCAAAAACATACTATTGCTTTGTACGGTTAGGGAGAATGCATTACTGCCCTCCCCGTGTCTTCTGCATTCGCTTCTTTCTATAAAACCCTGCTGTGAGACCTAGCTGATGTCACAGTTCGACTCCCAAGTTCCTTCCTGTGTTCCTGGTCTGACCAGTCTTGGGTGCTGTATTCAATCAACCATCAGTATCTAACTGAGACTGGAGTCTTAGTGGTTTGTGAAGCTATTCTTATACTAAAGCAGTGTGTATGTCTGTGTTTGGTTTTGTGTGCCTATGGCCATCTATGTATGTGTGTGTGTGTGTTTGTGAACACGTTATGCCACAGAGCACATGTGGAGGCTCGAGGAACACTTTCTGGAGCCAGTTTTCTCTCTCTACCACATGAGTTCTGAGGAGTGTGGAGCTGAGCTCATGTCAGGCTTGGCTGCAGGCACTTTTATGAGCTGAGCCCTTCTACTGTCTCAACTCTTAACGTGACACCCGCTCAGTGAGGATGACTTTGGACATCACACCTCCAGAGCTGTGAGCTCGTAAATCTGTATTAAGCTACTAAGTTTGAGGTCATTTATTCAGCAGCCATAGGAAAGCAGCATCATAGAAGGAATCAGGCCTTAAAATGGCTTGTATATGTTAGAAATATGGATTCTTCCCATTCCCTGTTGCCGCTCTGTCCTATAAAACTCACTCGAATTGCCCCAGCACTAAGGGATTCCGTTGGATTTAATACTTCCTGGAGCTATTGTGTTTTCTCGTGGCTTCTAGGAGTGGACTGCGAAGTCGGCAAGGATTCACCAACCTGGGACTCCATGACATGACAACTGCATCTTTTACCCATGGATGCTTCTGTGTGGCTGCCTCACTGCCTTCACTATATTACCATGTTTAAAAACAACTTCTTTAGGATATCAGACCTTCCAGTCTAAGTCACCCGAGCTTATCACCTTCAATTTATATTTCACTTCGTCATTATTATTGAATTGTCCCCACCTCTTCCCTCCATATTTCCCTGTTGTCCTTGGTCTGTACTCAGTACAGGATTGTCCACAGGCAGTAAGGAGGCACTTGAAGTTTGTAGACAATACTATATACTTCTGGGAAACAATGGCAAATAGAACACTACAAGGTGATTGTGCTTTTTGAATTTAAATTTTAATTTTTTCTATTAATTACAGTTTATTCATTTTGGATCCCAGCTGTAGCTCCCTCCATCATCCCCTCCCATTCTCACCCTCAGTCCCTCTTCACCTCCCATGAGCCTCTCCAAGTCCACTGATAATGGAGGTCTTCCTCCCCCTCCATCTGACCCTAACCTATCAGGTCTCATCAGGACTGTCCTGTCTGCATTGTTGTCCTTCGTGGACTGGTAAGGCTTTTTCCCACTCTCCCAGGGGGAGGTGATCAAATAGCCAGCCACCGGGTTCATGTCAGAGACAGTTCCTATTCCCCTTACTAGAGAACCCACTTGGATACTGAGCTGCCATGGGCTACATCTGTGCAGGGGTTCTACTTTTACAAGGCAAAAGTAAGCACAGAAAGGTCCCTTGGAGACAATCAGTGGCTACTAAAGTAATTTTATCAGGAAGTAGAAGAGGCCAGAAAAACAAAGACAAAAATATCCATTTCTATTTCCTTTCAAGCTACCTCCACCAGCCTCTATTCAAATCACAAACTAACCACAAATGTGTGTGTGTGTGTATGTGTGTATATGAGAGAGAGAGAGACAGAGAGAGAGAGAGAGAGACAGAGAGACAGAGAGACAGAGAGAGTATGTGTGTGTGTGTGTGTGTGTGTGTGTGTGTGTGTGTGTGTGTGTCCTGTTTCCATGTGGCCTGGGAAACTGACCTGGAGGCTTCATTTGTAGTCTGGTATGTGAATGGCATTAAAAGAGGGAATGATCATGCTTGCAGACAGGAGCCTAGCATAACTGCCTACTGAGAGGCTTCATCCAGTGGTTGATGGAAACAGATGCAGAGTCCCACACGGAACAATACGGCAGAGTTTGGGGAATTTTGTGGAAGCGTGGGAGGAAGAATTAAGGGAGCCAGAAAGATCAAGGACACCACAAGAAGATATACAGAGTCAACTAACCTGAGCCCATGGGGTCTAACGGAGACTTAACCACCAACCAAAGAGCTTGCATGGACTGGACCATGTAACAAATGTACAAATACACATATGTAACAAATGTGCAGCATGGTCAACATGTGGGTCCCCTAACAATGGGAGTAGGGACTCTCCATTACCTGCCTTTGAACACTTTTACCCTAGCTGGGCTGCTGTGTCTGGCCTCAATGGGAGACAATGTGCTTACTCGTGTGACTTAATGTGCCACAGTGGGTTGGTGTCCCTTAGCAGCCTCCCCTTCTCTGAGAAGAAAGAGGGGGGGGATGGAGTAAAGGGGGGAGGTGAGGGTGGGACTGGGAGGAGAAGATGGAGGGAGCTGGGATCAGGCTATAAAGTGATTAAATATTCTTGCTGAGTTAAGAACCACTCAGCATTTAGGATCTCTGGACCTGCAAGTGTCTTGACTCTTATCTACGGGAAGCACAAATATAGCAACTAAGTAAATATGAGCGTTGCTAGGCAGGGCTGCTCCTATTCGCACTCCTTGTTTTCTAATAGAACGTGCATTTACATATTGGAACCACATTGCCCAATCATGATCATTGATTCAGGCTCCAGGGGCATTATTGATGGTGGTTTATCTTCAACGGAGCATGTCCCAGCTGCACCCAGAGCTAACCCTTTAAGATATTGACCTCCCACCAAGTTTTTATGCTGGCAGCTTCTGCATAACACCACATTTGACAAAAGTAGGATTTCCCACAGTCATACCACTGCACCTGTAACTTCCAAAAGTTAGGCACCTAGGTCTAAAGTGATGGTTTATGGCTTGCCCATTTGATATGGCAAGAAGATAGATTATTTCATGCCTGTTGCTCAGCTTCTGGGAGTTTGTTAGTCATCATTGTTTTAGTGGGGATATGCCCTGATCCACCCTGCTCCTTCACATGGCGTTCTCCGGTGTACATATATGCATACACATTTCCATTTTATTTAAGGATATAATCTATACTGTTTTTTAAAATAATTTGACCTAAGCTGGAGTCATCTGGGAAGAGAATACTCAAATGAGAAAATGGCTACATCAGATGGCTTGTAGGCAAGTCTGTGGGGGCATTTTCTTGATCAATGATTGATGAGGGAGGTCCACCCCTGGGCAGGTGGTCCTGGATGGTATGAGAAAACAGGCTGAGCAAGCAAGCCATGGGGAGTAGTGAGCCAACATCAGTGTTCTACCACCTGCTGCAGGCAGGAGACCTTGCTCTAGGGTCATGAGAGCAGGAGAGCTGGTCCTGCCCCTCGGACAGCAAAGGAGAGCTGGCCCTGTCCTTTGGGCAGCAAAGAAGAGCTGGCCCTGTCCTTCATCAGCAGCAGCACTCAGGAGAGTTGGTTGGTCCTGCACCTTGCCTGAACAGTACAGTAGAGCTGACACTGGTGGCATGGGCACAGGTGAACTGGCCCTGATGATGTGACAGTGAGAGAACTAGCCCTGTCACTTGCCTGCTGTGTGGTGACATAAGCAAAGAAGGAATGTGCTCCACTCCAGCCCCTTGCCACCTATGGATAGGCAGGAGAGCTGGCCCAAAGATCATCAGAGCAGGAGAGCTGTCCCTGCCCCTCGGGCAGCAAAGTAGAGCTGGTCCTGGATATGGGGGTTGCAGGTGAGCCAATCCAGCTCTGCCTCTTGTCTCCCATGTGGTGGGATTGGCAAGGGAGAGGCCCTCCCCTCCCATTTTCCCTTACCACCATCAGAGGATGGGAGAGCTGGTCCTGCCCCTCACTTGTGCAGCACTTAAGAGAGTGGGGCCCTGCACCTCACCTGGACTTCAGGGTAGAACTGGCCCTGATTTTTAAGGTTTTTGGTCAGCCGACCTCAAGGGTATGAGAGCGGAAGAGCTGATACATCTCAGGCTCTGATCCAGGGCTTTGAGTTGACCCATCTCAACCCATCCCTACTCCATCTATGAACTTCTAGAGCATATGAAAGGGCTGGTTCTACAGATCCAAAACTACAGAATCTGCATGACACAGGGTAACA